TTCAACTAAAACTTATTCCAGTAACTACTTACCAGTAGTTACGGGAATACATGGACATATGCAGCTAACCTCAAACAAAGAAGTCCTTAACTGCATTTAAATAAGCTGCATAATCAAGCACATAGTAAGTAAATGTCATTTAAAATTGCTAATAACTTAAGTAATTAATTCCCTGAAGAACGAAGACCCTTTATTATAACTGCACTCAAGTGTAACTACTAAGCAAATATTTGCTGTTATAATTTAAAAAAATGACAAAAAACATTATATATTTTGCATAAACCAGTATGAAAAAAATGTACAAACATTATTATGACATCATTATCAAGACACTATAATGTGTAAGTTTATCTCTGTAATATATTTTATGCTGGTACTGGGTAGTGATTAAGATAATAATGTGACCTACAATATCTACATTTCCAGTAGAGGTCTGCAGCCTATGTAAGATTAAATATTTTATTACCTAAACATTATATACATCATATCGTTTGGATAATAACATTTTAGTGTCACATAAAGATGTTTATTTATTGGATTTTCATATGATTCAAATAAGAATGAACCCAAACATCATAATGGGAAATGTAAAAGTTGTTTATGATAAAAGGTTTTTATAAAAACGTCATAAAAATAGTTTTATAACCATATTGACAAATAAAAATGCAACACAACAGGCATTTTAATTCCAAAGAGGAAACATTTATTTGTGTACATTTTAACTTTTTCGCAAAAACATAAATTCCTCAACTACAAAAAAGTAAAGTTTAAAGTAGTACTTTATACAGTAATTTTTAACACCATAATAGCATGATAGCAGACTTTATGCACGTAAAAAACTTAATATAATAATGTAGTAAAGTTTATTAGTTTGAACTAATAAAACTTAGTGTAGTTAGGAAGAATTATGAGTGCAAATGCTTGCAAAATTGATTTCCAATTTTTGATGACAACAATGCTTAATTACTTCCCATCATCCCATCTCTTCCTTCTGCTCTTGTCTTCCTGTAATTTAAGTAAACAGAATCACATTCACTAATGATCAACTAATGACTGTCATTGTTAAAAAAGTATTTTTAACTTTTTCACTTTCTGCTATTGTCTTTGTATTAGGGCTAGGAAATGTCCGCCGCGCTGCCTCAATGCGTGTTGGCGAACTTCACATGCCTTCGGAATTTTTTCAGACATACAGGTTTCCTCACGATGTTTTCCTTCACCGCCGAGCACGTGGTAAATTAACACTTAAAATTGCAATTAACAATTTAATTGGCGCCTGCGGGGATCGAACCCGGGTAGCGTACTGTGAAATTTACAGCTTGCGCTAAACATGTGTGCTACCACGGTTTAATCATATACACACACAATATCTAAATATAATTTGTTAACACTAAATCATACACACGTAAGAAAATAACAGAAAGAAAAGTAAGTTTGTCAATAGAATAAACACTTACATCCATGGCCTTTGATGCGTTTAAGAAATACAAATGTAGTATTGATAGATCCACTGCGGTCAAACTACCATACACTAACTCCATGACTGCACTTGCTTGGTCTTATATAGTACCAGTAAGTAATAATTCTAATCTAAAGAATTTCTGCAGTGGAATTGATAGTAACTTTATGCGTCAACAAGCTTATCTCACATTTTGTTGCACATTACTTCGTGTCGCGTCTTGTTCAGTGTATTGATGACTCAAATACCTTTTTATATAACACAAAATAATGCAATTTAATATTTAGAAATCGCTATAATTGATCATTCCTATGTTAGTCATTGAGTAGATTGTACTGTAATAATCTACTAATAGCAGTAATATCATGGATGCACTAGATGTACGACAAAAGAAAATCTGAAATCTGAAAAAGATTCACCCCAGTCTAGAAAATAATGTTTATGCTGCTAATAGACTGCCCATGTATACTCACGTACCTACGTATATAATATGCAATTTGGATACAGATGATAAACCAGGATCACATTGGGTAGCTTTATATATCGATATGAATGACGTCGGTCAATATTTTGATTCATATGGACGATCACCTGTACGATATCATCTAGAGTTTTTAAAAAGGAATTGTAAAAGCTGGAACTGGAATGTTGATAGGATTCAGAATGAGTGGACTTCAGTTTGTGGCGAATATTGCTTAATGTATTTGCTATTTAAGTTTCAGGGATGTTCAATGCATAGTTTTACGAGTATATTTACAGGGAACACATTGTACAATGATATTTTAGTGGATGAGATGTTTCGCTTCTATTTTATAGACAATAAGTAATAAGATTTTGTATTTTGTAAATAAAAATTGTAACAAAATTAGGTAATGTGTTTTATTGATGATTCAGTTTAGCTTTGCAGTTAGGAACAAAGAAGTATAATACAATAGCACTGATAAGCCGACGCACACGCCGAGGAAGAATAGACAATGACGGTATTCAATGAACAATAGATAAATAGATAAGAACAATGGGACGCTAATGACGGTGGAGGCACTCATCGGATATCAATTAACCATCTCTGGAATCTCATCACATCTCTGGAACCGTGCATCTTACGCAAAAACAAAGATTCGTGATCAGAGCATGCCAAAACCTCTTTTTTTAGGATCGTGAGTCGACGAACGTTGTACCACTTCTGACTCAGTGAGCCAGAAGTGGTACAACGTAACTACTCACTTAAATCTACAATAAAAAGATGTGGTTTATATGTTACGTAATAAAAAAGTATTACTTAAATAGTTGCTAGTCTAACTGTTTATTTGTTAGAGTTGCAGATTCGAGATCAGAGCATGCCAAAACCTTTTTAGGATCGTGAGTCGACGAACGTTGTACCACTTCTGACTCAGTGAGCCAGAAGTGGTACAACGTAACTACTCCCGCCTGTCCCTGAAAATTTGTATAATTTATAGCGGCGCTGACGTCGGTAAATACCTAGTATCTGCGAAGTAATTTTTTTAATTATTTACCAAAATAGACATTTAAAATGGTGAAATATTATTAAAAAATTATAATAATAAATCAATAATAATATTTGTTATAATTTATAATAATTAAAATTATAAAAAACATAATTTATTTGTTAATAAATAAAAATAATTTCGTTATTTTGTTTGAAACTTGTTCAAACTAGTGCACAACAGCCCGCTTTTATTGACACAATTTAGCGATCGCAGCGCCTCACTTATTTTGTCCATATTTCTGGGACACTATTTTCTACAGCTATCGTTCTCCTGTTCTCTAACCTCCATGGCCCAAAAATATATCAAATAGATTATAATAAATTAATTAGATAACATAAAAATGATACTCCAAAAATTTTCCATCCACTGAACTCCATCCTAAGAAAACTTGTATAATGGAAGATCAAGATCGTTTAGCTGCTATACTCACAGTACCTTAGTACGAGTGATTGAAAAGAAATAAAATAAAGTGTCGCTCGCGTAGGTCATCGCCCGCTCGGGGCACAAATACCTAAAGGACATTGCTCAGAGCCCATACATTGTTCGCCCTGGAAACAAAAGCATCGGAAAATTGTGTGTTGTATTGTCCATCATTAGTGAATTCCTATATGATCTTATTTTTATAGCGGACTAACTGCAGAAAAGATATATTTAAAAAAAGTATCAGATTTTGAGGTTATAATAGAACTACCTCTGTTATAGTTTTTATCATTTGGTGTGATTTTTAAGAAACTGAAAAACAATATCTTGTTACATTTAACAATTTTAGTAACGTCTTTCAACAACATAAAACTACTCAGCCGCAATTTACACAAAATACACTTTTCATTGCATATGCGTAACAAGAGAATATAAACTCCCTTAGTAAAAGTACATGTATGAAAGGGCGCCAAACTACTCTACCAACATCAAGACATAAAATTAATTTTTAGAACAGTGCTGACAACATAGGCGAATTATACTAGTTCTGTAAATGTCTATCCTCGAATAATTTTATCGATATAACGTTTATCGATTTGTTGTTTATCGTAATTTTTATATTAAAAATATTAATTATCATATACTCGTGATCGTTTAGTTAGAAGTAAGTCACACGCTTTTCTAAACCATCATTAGAAAATCTGATCATGTTGTAATAATTAGGTTTCGTTCACTTCAGCATTATTCTAACTACCTATTTATTTTCGAATTTGACCTCATTCATTAGGTATAGTAGGTTTTTTAAATTATACTTTTAGGGAATAGCAAAAAGAAATGGTAGTTGATTGTTTTTATTATAGCTTCTATTTGCACTTTATTCGAAATAAATTCAAAATGTGATTCAGATTAAAAAATATGCAACTGTTTATTAAAAATACAAGTTAACAGCTGTTGCTTAGCAGCTCCTTTAATATGTTTCATGGTCAGAGAAGATGAAGAAACTAAAAGAAAAAAATTATTGTGATTTACTTTATTCATATACAGTACATAAAAAGCACTTGTTTTTACAAAACTAACGATACAGATAAAAAGAGCACTGCAGTTATACATCTACATATTATATAGTGCATCTTAGGACGGACAATTATTTCGTAGTTAATGATTATAATTTTTATAAAACTGACAATATCCTATAATATACTGATAAAATAAATAATAATAAACATATTTATTAGGAATAAGTTTTGTCATGCTGCTTTTTTATATTTATATATTATTAAAAATAAACATAATAGGAATTCTTGATAAACATCAAGAATTCGTATTTCTCACATATTTAGAAATTATTTTTAACAATAGATAGGCAATATTGAGAACATAATGACTTACATTTTATTATATTAAACATTATTAATTTACAACAAAAATGATTATACTAAAATAATACAATCTTTTTTATTAATGATCACAGTTGTAATAGAGTTTAAAAGGCACTCTCATCCACTACACAAAGCCACTTTAATTAATACTTCATAAAATTAAGTAACACAAATTTCACTCACATGATAAGGAAATGTAGTAAAAAATATAGACCAAACTTAAAACAAAGAAAATATTCATTCACAAAGTGTATGATGCTCTAGTACAGTGTCGTCGCTTATTATAATGGTATTCTCGTCTGCAAAATCTTGAGGTAAGTCAATTTGAGCATTTAGTTCTTGCAGACTTTCTATGAGCTCGTTCAAGTTTGACTGGAACAAATAGTTAGGTTTTAATTAATTTCAATGGGAATTAAAATTAAAAAAATATTTTAATGTGCCTTTTACTACATAAGTTGGGCTCTTTCTCTAATGTAGATTCTGATTTTTAAATTTGACAAAAACGTTTCCTAAAACTATTAACTATTTAAAACAACTTTTTTTGTGTGGGAGAGCCAAGCTGAGGGTATAATATGATTGAAGTACGAATGGGTCGGCTCGACCGGGGAAGGACCACGCTCTCACAGAACACCAGTGTAAAACAGCAACTTAATTCTGCTGTTTCGTATAGTGAGTGTAGAGAAGTGGAGACCCGAGCGATTTCATCTTACACTTTTTTCATCTTTCATCTTTCATCTTACACCCTCAAGGCTGTCAACACATTTCGATTTTTAACAGAGCACAGATGTGGATGTCTGTGGGCCACAGAATTCACTTACCATCTAATGGACTGTGTGCTCGTTTGTCATGCTTATGTTATAATAAAAAAAACTTTAAAAGGAATTACGTTATCGATTACTTAATCGTTAAAAATTTAATTTTATATACCGTCCGTACATCACCGAATGCCTATTAATTGATGATAAGCGTTGATGCGTTGAGCGTTGATGTTAATAAACAGATTGCATTAAGTTGGATACATAGAAAGATCAGTGGCTGAAGCATTTTGAGGATTCTTTCGAGTTTAATTTTAACTTTTTTTAATTGCCGACGTTTTCGGGCACTTTACAGCATTTTTACTTTACGGCATGTAAAAGGTGACTGGACATAAAAAGTGACCATAGTTTGTCGCCAAGATGGTATGAATACTTTATATGTGCTCTTATACGTCCTCTCAGTGGTGACAGTATTTGTGCTATGTGTTGAAACAATTTATACGTTAGTGAATCAATTTGGCTCACTATGAGACGTAGTGGTGCGTTCGGCTTGTGTATTTTGGCTAACCGACACAACTTCAATGGATTGGTACATGGTGGTATTATCGAATTCACGTCGAGATTAAATTTTTAGGAGTATTTCTTTATTAGATCGCTAGTTGTTTTAAGCACATTGGTTGTAGTGTATGTTTTGATCTTTTTGTACGTATTTTTGTCCAAAGAAAGTTTTTGTGTTTTAAAATTACAATCTGACATATCCATTACTAACTACCGTTGCATTTCCTTTATTTGAGCGGAGAATCGGGAGCTTTAGTCTGTTGCGTAAGTTGTACAACGCAACGCTGTAAACTCGTCTATGGGGAGATTTAGTTTCGGCGCTGAACTTAAGGACGTACGAAGGACAAAATGTTTTGACGTATGGCCTCCAAATCTTCCTTCTCGACGTTGTTTTTAAACAGACAATCCTCAAAACTACAGATAACGTCGGGAATTAAAAAAGTTAAAATTAAACGCGATTGAATCCGTATAATTAGTTTTACTGCATGTTGATAGCAATTTTCATGAAGAGGGCTAGTCTTCATTAAGCAGTCTTGTTGAATGAAATTACTAAGGTGCCCACGTTATTTAATATTAGTGGTCTGTGCCTTTTTTATAGGATATGGTGACAAACGAGCACACAGTCCACCTGATGGTAAGTGGTTGCTGTGGCCCATAGACATCTGCATCTATCCTCGATTACGAATCAAAACGCAGATGCGTTGTCACCCGTGAGGACTAAGATAGAATGCCTCGTTTCCAGTAAAAAGGGTCTCCGGTTCTCTACACTCACCATACGAAACACAGCCCTATTAAGCTACAATATCACGCTGGTATTCTGTGAGAGCGTGGTCCTTCCCCGGTCGAGCCGACCCATTTGTGCTACAACTATATTTCTAATATAACAGCAGCATGGCTCTACCACGTATATAAATGAACTAAAAACGCCGTCGTGAATCGTGACGTATTAAAGATATTTTAAATAGCACGCGCAGAGGTGCAAGTGATACCTCCAGGTAGGAAGCTCACTCCTCATCTACCCACGACGCAGCTGCTTTGCATTTACTATAAAAGTCCTCTTTCGTCCGAGATCGCGTTACAAGCAGACGTGTTTTTGTTTTTATTTTTAAACCTAATAATAGTTTCACATAATTGTACACCTTATATGAATGTAGGATAACGAATAAAACTGTGTAACATACATTCGTACATTCGAACTCAAGCTGATCGCCGTAGCCGCTTCGTCGCTGTGTTCTCCCCGACCCGCACACCTCGAGGGAAAGAGTTGGTTGCATAATTGCTTTCCTTATCATCGATCAACGCTACGAACTGCTACGACGCGCTAATTACTGCTGGCTGCAATTTCTTCGTAACCAGCGCTACCAAAACACCTACGCTGTTGAACTGTGGTGAGCTACAAACTTTACTTTTACTTCGCGACTAATTACATTTAATTAACAATGCCATTAAAACGCACTCCGCCGCCTCAAAAATCAGTTTCGGATTCTAATCTCGACGACGTGGGCCTAAGCGACAAAGTGGTAATGGAAAAAGAATCACAGAATAATAAGTTAAGACAGAAACGTAAGCGGGAGATCGAAGGATCTGGATTTATGGACGAAATTCGCAGTTTATTTAATAATTTCACTGAGCAACAAAATAATAAACTAGAAAGCCTACAGTCTGCCATTAAAGATATTAAAACACAGAATTCTGAAATTACGGCCACGATACAATTATTATCGGATAAATATGATGACTTTCGTAAGGAGTTGGATCTGTTAAAACATGAGCGTAAAGAACAACTCGCTTATATAAAAATAATTGAAAACCGGCTTGATAATTTCGAAAATAACACGTGTGCTGCAAAAATTGAAATACGTAATATTCCTAAAATTTCAAATGAGTCAAAACTAGAACTTACTAGGGTGGTACAGAGCATTGGAGATCTTATAAATACCCCAATTCTAACGACGGATATAAAAGATCTACATCGAGGATTCGCCAAACCCCATTCGCCTAAACCTATCGTGGTCGAATTTGTATCCGTCCTTAAGAAGGAGAGTATATTAAAATCTGTTAAAGCCTATAACAAATCTGGGAGTGAAAAGAAACTTAACACATCACTTCTGAAATTGGATGGCCCTTCAGTGCCTATTTTCATCTCTGAAAGTCTCACTTTCAAGGGTAAAAGATTATTTTTCCTCGCTCGCAACTTTGCTAAAACACATGGATATGCTTTCTGTTGGTCATCTTATGGAAAAATATACTTGCGGAAGAAGGAAGGAAGCCCACAAATAAGAATTAATGAAGAAGCAGATCTTGCAAAGCTAAAGGAAGCCAACATATGTCTATCATTTCAGTTTATAGTGTATATAATAAGAAAAATGTTTTTACTACTAATTATTCAAATAACGTATTGTACTAGCCTATATTATTCATTTTTTTATCTTGTTCTGTACACATTATCTTATTACTTTTTTAACTACTCTACACTTTACATGCTAATGATACTCCTTGATATTTATAACTCCATAACATACCACTACACACTTACACAATACACAACCATTACTTATAAAAATCTTATTTATATAGTTAATAATATTTAAAATAGAACCTAAATGCCATATAATTTATAAAAATGGATGAAGATATAGGAGATGAACTTGATCAAATTTCTGTATCTGAATCTGCCATATGTGAAGTTGAGCAAACTAAACTATTGCTACATGGCCAACCCAATAGTATTATTATTATTACTCAAAATATTCGCAGTATCAATAAGAATTTTGACGGTTTCACAGTATTATTGAAAAGACTTGAGGTTGACTGTGACATTATTATTCTGACCGAAAGCTGGCTTGGTTCTGATCCTTTATTGCCTAATTTAAATGGATATAGTAGTCATGCAACAACAAAACATGCATTGCAGAATGACGGAATCGTGGTATATGCTAAATCTGATATCAACATTACTTTTGAAGAACCGACATTTCTAGAAGGAAACTGTCTTGTTATGAAACTCGGTCACGAAACTGCAATTATAGCTATATATCGTTCGCCTTCATACTGCAAATTGGACTCTTTTAATCTCTATCTTAACGTTATTTTGTCAAATTTATCAACTTTTAAAAACATATCAATTATAGGTGACCTAAACATAGACATTAGACCAGAAAATAGAGATAAAAGAGCTCACGATTATCTTAATCTTTGTGCTAGCCATGGTTTATTACCTGCCCACACTTGTCCAACAAGGGAAAATAAAACGTGTCTCGACCACGTCTTGCTCAAAACAAAAAAGCCAGCTCTTACATTGGTGATTACTTCTACATTAACTGACCATCAAGCAGTACTCCTGTGCTTAAATCAGAATGAAATTAAAAAGTCCTCTTTAAAACATAGAACTAAATTACATCATGAAGGATTACTTGCGGACATGGGTAATATAGACTTTGAAATAATATATAAGTCAAATGACGCTAACTTTTGTACAGAATTTTTAGTTACATCTTTAAAAACTGCAATAGAACAAAATACAAGCATAGCATATACATCTAGACGATTAAAAAAACATTAAGCCATGGATAACCCCCGGCCTAATAAGATGTATGCGTAATAGGGATCAAATGCATCTGAAAGTAAAACGTGCACCAGAAAATATAGTACTTAAACTCACATATACACGATACAGAAATTATTGCAATAGTCTATTAAAAAAGCTTAAAAGAGAGCATGAGAAAACTCAATTAGAATTAGCGGGTAAAGACAGTAAAAAAGTGTGGGAAGCCATTAAAATTATTACACACACATCTAAGCAGAAATCATCGTCTCAGGAATTACTGAAAACTGACTGTATTAAAGACTCCTTAAATAGTATTAATAATTTCTTTGCAACTGTTGGGAAAAACATCGCAGAAAAAATATTGTAGAAAAACAAGAATTATCACAAATTAACCTTGATACAACAAGAGAATCGTTTGTATTATTATCTACTGATGTGGACGAAGTAGAACGCATTATAATAAATTTAAAATCAAAATGTACAGTTGGTTGGGACAAAATCTCTAATAACTTTCTAAAAACTTTTCAACATATCCTAATCCCACCATTAACTTATATCTTTAATTTATGTTTCGTGAACGGAATATTCCCTAATTATTTTAAAAAATCCATAATTCACCCCATATATAAATCTGGAGATAGAGACCATGTGAATAATTATAGGCCTATTTCTATACTTCCTTCTATTTCAAAAGTATTGGAAAATGTTATTAATATCAGACTTGTAAAATACCTAGAGAACTTTAATATTCTATCAAACTGTCAATTCGGGTTTAGATCCGGAAAATCTACCAATGATGCAGTACATGAATTAACCGATAATATCATCAAAAATCTAGACAAAGGCAATAAAACGGTAGGGATTTTTCTGGACCTTGCCAAAGCGTTCGACACGGTCTCTATCCCCGTTCTGCTAAGGAAACTTGAAAAAATTGGTATACGGGGTACACAACTAAAATTATTTGAAAGCTATCTAACTGGAAGACTACAATGTGTTACAATAAATAACCAGTATAGTTCTGATGTACCTGTTAGCTACGGAGTTCCTCAGGGGAGTATTCTGGGCCCAATTCTATTTCTCGTCTACATAAATGACCTCTTAAAACTTAAATCCTTCCATGGCAAAATCATATCATATGCTGATGACACAGCACTCCTATTCTCAGCAAGTACATGGAAGGAGGCTTTTGATAACGCTCAAACAGGAATTGATGTTGTCTCAGTATGGTTACGTAATAACCACCTATCTCTTAATATTGAAAAAACTAAATATATTACCTTTTCCATGACAATTGATCCTCAATCAACTATCAACTATAAGTTAACTGCTCACATTTGTTTAAATTTAATAAAACCTTTAGGATTACCGTGTACCTGCCCATCTTTATCCAAAACCAACTGTGTTAAATATTTAGGTATTCTTATTGATAATCAACTGAATTTTAAAGATCATTTAGAAGTTTTAACGTCCCGAGTTCGAAAGCTTATTTATGTCTTTAAAATTCTGAGGCATGTAGCTAAACCTGAACTACTGAAACAAATATACACTGCATTGTGTCAATCCATTATAACTTACGGTATAACAATATGGGGCGGAGCCCCAAAAACTACTTTAGCTCCACTGGAAAGAGCTCAGAGAGCTGTTTTAAAGGTTTGTACTTTTCTACCCATTCTCTATCCAACATATGAACTATATGAACACTGCCAAGTATTAACAGTCCGACAATTATACATTTATCTGACGATTTTAAAGCAACATGGGTTATTAAATTTTACCTCATCTCAATTAATAAAGAGAAGATCCGACAAAGTGTGCCTTACTACTACCTTTAAACATTGGTATGCACATAAATATTTTTGTTTTCTTGGTCCATTCTTGTACAATAATATAAATAAGCAACTAAATTTATACATTTTAAATAAGAATCAATGTAAAAAAACCCTATTCAAATGGCTTCAAAAACTAGATTATGACGAAACAGAAGTATTATTGAAATCCCTAAATAACTGATTTACTTCTATAACGTATAATTAATATACCATTAAATTATATTTTCTTATTATAATTATTACTTTAATGTATACTACTCACCTTCTCCCTCGCATACACACACACACACTCACACACACACACACACACACACACACACACACACACACACACACATACACACACACACACACACACACACACACACACACACACACACACACACACACACACTTAGCACGCACCCACATACGAGAGGAACAATTTACGCACAAAAATATATTTAGTTATATACGTAGGTTTAATTTTCATGCTTTATATAATATTATTGTTTGATATAATATGTTTACGTAAGTTTCTTAATCAGAAAGATTTCTGTTGAATTGTCCCATAAGAAAGAGCACTGTTGCCTGAGATACAAGCTTATTGCTTAGTTCAGGCGCAGATGCAAATACATATTGTTAAAATTTTTCGTGAATAAAGAAATTATTATTATTATTATTATTAAAGTTCACCTCTCCCTACGAACAAGGCCGTTGCTAACTGCTTCTTTTCCCATTTTATAACGTTAAATCGTTAATGCGAGATATATATAGTTATAAAGCTCAAATTTTATGTGTTAAAACAGCTAAATGAAAACATAAATGAACATAATATTTTCTGTAAGTATTAATTAACTAATAACATGCCATATTAAGTTTATGAAAATATAATAATTTCAATTTGTGTTTTCAATTTATGAAAGTAGTTATTGCATTTAGAAGAGTGAAAAAAAAATGGTTATCATTTATCGAATGCTGACGTGGGCCAGCCTGTAGTTTCGTAAGGCTACGGTCTCCTATTAAATGCTATACGCGACGTCCGACTTCAGCGTAAACGTTCCGATCGGCGTCTGAACGCCAGGCACAGCGTCAGCGGTCAATACATGTCTTAGCAATGGACGACGTCTAGACTTTCGATCAAACAACAGTTAAGTAGCTGACAGTGTGTGTGATATTTGTACATAAAATGGATATAAATTCAATACTTTTCGCGGCGCTTGTGTTACTTGAAGAAGAGACACAAGACGTCGTATACGAAGAAAAATAAAGGCAACAAGGCACCGATTATTTATGAAGAGAAATGAAGAAGGATGTTTCCAGCTATTATAATGAAACACTTAAAAAACAGCAATTCTAAATTTACTGAATATTTTCTTATTAATCAAGAACAATTTAAACATAATAATAAATCAAGAACAATTTAAACATAATAATAAATCAATAACTTGTCTTTTTCTTTATAAAATTTTGTAATTTTGTACTGACGCTAGACACGACCTTTACGCTGCAATGGTTCGAAATAACTAGAGACGCAGCGCAAAGCGTCTTAACACCGCCTACGACGTCCATACGCCGACATCAGCTTGTGAAAGAGACCACAACAGTACATTTCTATAGTAAGCATCGTAACGCGGCGTACGGCGTGACGCTGTAAGCGGCCGATGGCGTTTATAGGAGACACCACCGCCTAAACGATAATTACGAAAAACTTAAGACGCATCACATTGTCTATTTCTTTATTAAGTTGTGAATGGAGTAATGAACTCTACCGTATTCTACAATATTTAATATAAAGCTGTGTGGTGATAGTGAAAAGAATCCATCACCTCATTTCATCCCTTGAACGTCGTTAGAGGAGACTATTGCAATTACTAAATAAATAGTACAAACATCTCATTTATGCCAGATGTAAAACACTTAAAAAAATATAATTAAGTGATTGTGATATGTTAATTTAATTAACTTACTGTTGTTTCCTCAAAGTCCTTTAAGCATTCATCAGAGACAATTTCTTGACCTTCAAAGTCTTCTGCTAGAATTTTCAGATGATCTGGTAATAGAGAAGTATCCAGCTCTCCAGTTGATTTATTTCTTATAATTCTGTAAGCAAAATGGTTTCATCACACGGTTTTCAACACTGACACATGCTGTTCATAATGCCTATTGCATCTCTGTTCACAAATCACTCATAAATAAAATATGTAATGGTGTTTATGCTGGTCAAAGTTCGAAGTTAGTTTGTTAGTTCAAAGTCCATTGCCAAGCTTAGATCTCCCCTAATAGTCCAGTAAAGAGATTTTAAATCGACATTTGTCGTGGAAGGCCGAGTTTTTTCGAGCATGTCTTCATTTTTATATATAAAACAAGGGTCATCATTTAAAAAAAGAAAATTAGCCTGCAGGGGTTGTAAAAAAATAAAATAAAAACCACCCTCAAAACCACTTTTTTTGCAATTTTTTAGTAATTATAAAGAGATAGTGTTTACAAAACATTAAAAAAAAATTGATATAGAATAAAAAACTACCCAAAATTGTCTTGAATCATTTTCCTCGAATGTTTAATAGGAAGAGATATTTTGCATTAGAAAATTACATTTAAGCCAACCACGACCTACAAAATACCCAAATTTTTAAAAATACATTAAAATATACTAATTATTATTGTTTTACTTTTTTAATTGTTTCAATTCAGTCTGACGTTTTTAGAGATTTTATTTAAAATAATTTTTTAAAGTTATTAACAATTTCAATTTTTCATTAATTTTTTCATCCCTATTAAACTTTTTTTCATTTACGTTTCTTGTGGGTACACTAGTCGCTTATTCTTCCATACAAACGTAGTCCGGCGATTACCCCACTGTTTGATGGTGTACGTTTAAAATAAAAAATGATTTCAATTTGTCTCATCATTATCTAGCCCTGTATGGAAACAAAAAAAGTAAAAAAAGAGTATGTTTAAAAGTTATAAGTGTCGAAAATTCCGAATTTCAACACTAGTTTTAACACATCTTTCGGCGGAAATAAATACCATAAGAAGAACGAAAATTGCAAAACAGTTACCATACAGGGATAGATTAGTTGTTCAAAAATGCAAATAATTTTATTTTAAACAGATACATTCAATAGATTTTTCATGACATCCAGACTACCAAAGGTTTGTTTATAAAATTTCGCGCGCCCGTTTTTGTTATAAAACCATCTTGCCTTTCGCTACAAATTCTTTCGCCGATCAGTGGGACGGACGGAGGGGGTGGGGGGGTGCTCGCAGCGCGCACTCACACATACTCACTAGGTTAGCCGCTGCTATCTATTTATGGTTGTAATACCTACATAACATCTTTATTTAGAAAAATTGCTTCCTTTTGTTTGTGTCCATTGCTGAAGCCGGGATGAATATAGCTGCTAAAATGTGCCCATAAGTTTGTTGAAGCACATTTTTAGTTAAAATTGAAAACAGGTAAGTACATAATAATAAACTTTCGGTACTTAACTACTTTAATTTGCTAACTAACGAAAACATCTCATAGATAAGCACGATTATCGAAAATCTTAAAATTATCTATTAATTTAATTAGAATAGGTAATTTTTAGATTTTCGATAATCGTGCTTACGTATAGGAATCTCATATCCTAATATACCTAATGTAATTTATGTAAGTACATAATAATCTAAGAAGGGCAGTCAATGATAAATAAAATGTGTTTTGTAAGTTGTTTTTTTTTTAAAAACACTAACACAACAAAAACATGAAACTGAGAAGAAGCACCCGATTTGCCGAAACAAACTCAGAGAGGTCAGTCCAGGTATTACATTGGTCATGTCATACGAGAACCGGGCTAATATGGTCCTTTGAAGAAAGAATCATACAGATGTGAGTGGACAACTTAGTACTTTTTACGATTCCGTACCAAGCAGGACAAGCAGGCAAGGTAACCAGCATGTCCCTATTACGGAGCCTCCGCTGTCCGTGTATCTGTCTGTCAGCGGGCTGCATCTCATGATCCGTAATAGATAGATGGTTGTAATTTTCACAGAACGTGTATTTCTGTTGCCGCTATAACAGCAAATAGTAAAAATAAATTTGAAATTAAAGGGTTTCCTACTAGAAATATAAACGTGTATTTTTGGCTTTTTTTGATCGATAGTAATATGTATATTTAAATCTTGTAAGATGGTACGGAAGCTCGGAAGTCGGATTCGCACTTGGCAAATATTTTTTTATATTTTATACCTTACCTTAGACATACTCATATTTTTTGTATATACTTAATTTACTATACTCCTATATAAGCTACTACTAAATAAAATAGTAGTAGCTTTGCTATGGTATTATAGTATATATTTTGGTTTAGATTTAATATACCTATTACAGAACAATATGAACTATATAAAAATTAAGGAGCGCATCAACCTACCTCAGATATTGGGTTATGAATACAGATAAGTACACATAGGATTTAGTTTCTAATTTGTACATATTTTATAGCCTTCGTTATCAATAGCATAAACAGGCCAAGCCCCCTAGCCTATAAACGTTTCGTAACGAATCTCTTTATAAAATCGCGCCTTTTATTTGTTTGGACTGACCACCTGACTAGTTCAGTGATGTCATTCCCATACAGTGTTTAGTTTTCAACTAGCGTTATCTACTATCATAAAATAATTCAAAATTTTATTTATATTTCGCTAATTGTGTCTGTACTGTGAATTTGATTTACAATCGATCTCTAAATTGTAGTTATCTTCTAATTACTTACCTTGCCTAGACGTGTTCTTTGTACTTCTGTAAGGAAGTCTGTGCTGTTAGTATTCCGTTTATATACGTTACTATTTTGATAGACGTTTGTGCTTGTCCCTGCAGTGACACAATTCCTATTGATGATAACTTTCTAAGTACTAAGAGAATATTTCAAACCGCTATTGAACACAAACAATCAATAAACAATTTACAAACTAACATTTTTTATTTATTTAATTATTCTAAATAAAAGCCATATACTTCGGGGAGTTGCCTGTGGGCTATTATAGCTAACTAGCTATGGAAAGTAAATACCTATTTAGAATACATAGTACCTACAGTAATATTTGCATAACCTACAGTAAAATACAAAAACATAAAGAAAACATAATTATGTTACACTTTTTTGTGTTTGTTTTAGAAATTGTTATATTTTTTTCAAAAAAAAGTTTTTTATGTTACCGTTTTTAGTTGAGAGTTATGTCCCTTTAGTGGGTACAGGCGTGATATTATATTGTGTGATTGTGTAAAGAATGCATAGATAGGCGACAGCAGCAATCGCGGTTGATTTGCTGTCATTTATTGAAGAGTGCCCCCGATTTCTCCAAGATCCCATCATCAGATCCTGATCTGACCATCATCGATTACCGTGGGACTATCTGGAAAATATATCCTTTCAAACAAAAAAATAATTTTCCAAATCGGTTCAGGCTTCAGGCATCTTCAAAAAATCGGGGAACAGAACATACATAAACAAAAACCAACGAATTGAGAACCTCCTCCTTTTTTCGAAGTCTGTTAAAAAGTAGGTAAAAACAAATCAATGGAATTATTATATAATAACAACATCTACTTAAGTTCACATAAGAACTTTCATAATAACAACTAAGTACATAAATTGGGTTCATAATAATTACGTTTCACACAGCAGATCCTAAGTTATAATAACACCAACTTGCTTTCTCTCTCCTTTCTCTTTTTAAAATACGTTACCCCCACAGTGGGATTTTCTCCAGTATCGTGGAGGCAGTTTACAAACATAAATCGCACAAGGACAAATATCCAGACCAGGAACAACTATTTGTAGGCCATACAAATATTTGTTCCGTGCGGGATTCGAAACCGCGGCGCCCAGCGCAGCCTCATTGCTAAGCCACTGCGATACGGAGATCAAATTGCCGTTTGAGTTTATGTTATTATTCAAAAATGAATCGCATAGATAGGTACGCGATGACGCCGTCTCGCATTGCGTCACTCGAGTGCGTATGAGTGTGCGCACTAGCTTCTTACTGCTCATCACAGCGTCTATCCCTTTCGCACGTGATGTCGGCTGAGATAGCATGCATTTTTACCCCGCCCACCACTTAGTTCGTGCCATCGACTAGGGCAACCTTAAAGTTCTATCTTATAGGTACGGAGGGTCATTCTTTTCCAGCGACTGTTTACCTGAGATTTTACCTGTGTAAAATATCTACTATAAAATAAATTGCCCCCGAGTCCATCTATCTATAGGATATGTATACGATGTCTATCTATACGACTTTGTAACTGTCGTTTATTCGTCTTTGTCACTCCTTTAGCACAGCCCAGCTGATGTGCAAATCACTGCGCAAATCGTGCCGTTTTGGGCATTGGAGGACATACGTAGCATATATTACACGAGCATTAAATGGGATGACGTTGGTGTTCGATTACACTGTTTTTTACCGACTTTAGTAAGGAAGAGGTATTTATTCGACTGTATGTTTATTTTTATTAAGTGTGTTACCTCAGAAGTTTTCTCTGGGTGAACCGATTTTGATGACTCTTTTTTTATCTGAAAGCTGGTACTTCTCGTGTGGTCCCATATAAATTTAATCAAGATCTGACCAGTAGTGTTTGAGTTATCCTTAATAATGCGTATTTAATTGACTGTTGTTCTTATTTTATTATGTTGAAATCGGTTGCACTAAATTTTTACTTTTACCACTTGTTTAATTGAAATTTTGTCTCAATGATAAGAAATGCTGCTGAATTGATACAAACCATTCGTACAGGAAATAAAAATTTCCTAAAAAACAAGTAGTAACATTTTTTCCAAATCTCCAATATTTAACGCTCAATTAGGATTCTAGATTTTAAATTTTTACTATTCAAAAAATTGATTTGATAACTGTTTATTTTATTTCTGTCCGAAAAATTAAAAATAAAGTAGATACGGATTATTCTTATTATAGAGGACCAAACTTTTTACGGACTCACATTGTTTTTGAGTTAGTAATTATCCACAAAATAATTTGGAGAGACAATTTTTCCACTTCGTCAGAATCTTCATTAAATAAAATTTCTCTAATTTTCAACTATCGTTTTTCTCATTCTAATCGATCACGCTCTTAGAACTCATCATCAGTCTTAGCGGATTTGATAATTGCCGCTATGATAATCTAAATTTTCGCTATTTTTACCATTCTTATCTACTTGAAGGTTATCGTTGTCGTAGGTATCAGGAAGAACAATGTCATCTTCCTGATTTTTTAAATTTGGCTGCTTAGAAACATCCGATGCATTACTACAAGTAATGCCACTACAATTACGGCAAAAATTGTAATAGCGTAGACCAGGTTTCAGACACCCGCAACGTTTGTTTGCACAATTATTGCAGCGCGTGTGTAACGTACCTCAGTATCCTGCGGCGCGTGTGTTTGGACCTGGTGAGCACGGTGAGCACGGCGAGCGCGCTGGCGACGAGTGCGCGCGCGCGGCTCTCCACGCGCGCCCACTCCAAGCACAGTAGCAGCGCGTGTGTCGCGTACCTCAGTATCCTGCGGCGTGTGAGCTCGGGCCCGGTGAGCATCGTGAGCGCGGCGAGCGCGCTGGCGGTAAGTGCGCGCGCGCGGCTCTCCACGCGCGCCCAGTCCAAGCGCAGTAGCAGCGCGGCGAGCGCGCTGGCGGCGAGTGCGCGCGCGCCTCTCTTCACGCGCGCCCAGTCCAACTGCAGTAGGAGCGCGTGTGTCGCGTACCTCATTATACTGCGGCGCGTGAGCTCGGGCCCGGTGAGCACCGTGAGCGCGGCGAGCGCGCTGGCGGTGAGTGCGCGCGCGCGCTCTCCACGCGCGCCCAGTCCAAGCGCAGTAGCAGCGCGGCGAGCGCGCAGGCCGCGAGTGCGCGCGGCTCTCCACGCGCGCCCAGTCCAAGCGCAGTCGCAGCGCGTGTGTCACGTACCTCAGTATCCTGCGGCGCGTGAGCTCGGGCCCGGTGAGCACGGTGAGCGCGGCGAGCGCGCTGGCGGCGAGTGCGCGCGCGCGGCTCTCCACACGCGCCCAGTCCAAGCGCAGCCGTAGCGCGTGCCGCGAACGCGCGGACACCACGTGCCGCGCGCCTTCTAGCTGCGACCCTTCCGCGCACCAACGGTACTGCACTGCAGACGAACGATACACGTTATCACCTTAACTTCCCATACGTAGAACAACGCTGCAGCGTATTATAACTTCAACACGAACGGAGTAGACAAGGGAAGTACTAAACTCATACAGAGTACCAGTGTAAAACAGTATAATGTTCTGGGCTTCATAATATGTTTATTGTCGAAAATCGGAGACATTATTAATGGTAACGAAACATTCTATCTTGGACCTCAGGGACCAACAACCCTTATTTTAGGAAGACGAGACAAACGACCATAAGACTCACATAATGATAAGTGATAATCTCCACCCATGAGCACAATGGTGGAATTTAGTTGCTAGAATTAATTCAAAAGTAAAAAAAAAATTACTAATCTGTTGGGCTATGTCGGTTACTCTGGTTTCTGGTCTATTGCTGATATCCTCATTTCTAAATTTATTACGCAGAGAAACCCCAGCATAGCCCTCTCCATAGCTCGCTGGGCGACGTTGAGCTTTCTCATACGGCACGTATTGGTTGGACAATCTTGTTTTCAAGTTTTGAGGTACCTAACGAAAAGATGAGTCGTAATGTCCCAAACGTTGCCCAGCTAAGTTGAATCTGTCGGTTGACCTCTCGGTCGCAGTTAGATTTAGCAAGTCGGACTATTTGTCCCAGGTAAACATACTCGTCAACAACTTCAAGCTTAGTGTTTCCTACAACTACCGGCATAGATGTGACATGGACGTGATTGCTTTGTCTAAGTTCATCTTAAGACCTATTTTTTGGTAGGCACTACTGTGGTCATTGAGCATAGTACTTGAGTTTCCCAGTGATTTTGCTATGAGGACTATATCTTCGGCAAATCGAAGGTGAGTGATGTAATCGCCATTGATGTTAATACCGTATCCTTTTCAGTACAGTAGCTTGAAAGTGTCTTCCAATGCAGCGGTGAAGAGTTTCGGGGATATAACTTTACACTATCTGTCATCTCTCTGCAGATGGATAGGTTTCGTACTGGTTTTGTACTCGGATAGCCATCGTAACCCTACTGTACAAACACTTCAGAACTTCCATATACCGACAGTAAGATTGGCAACGCTGAAGGGACTGCAGCACCGTCCAAATTTCGACGGAATTAAACGCTTTCTCATAGTCCACATACGCAAGACATCGTCACCGCATAAAAATATTTATCTTTCATTACAATGAAAGATAGATATTTTTAGCCGTAATATATTATATGGGTATATTTTTCAGTACCAAATAATTTTAAGTTAACCTTGTATAACGATTTACGCACACGTATGCGGTACACGCGGCTTAGAAACGAAATTGATCTGTAATTCTTCAATAAAGCGTAGCCTTTATTAAAAATGAAGACCGAAAGTTTCGGGGTATCGGACTTTACTCACGTGCTTTGAAAATTTAAGACGACCACAAATTCACTGAGCTACCGGGGCACCGGAAACGAAACCGAAAATTTTAATTTGTAAAGGTTCGAACTTAGCCAATGACAGTTGTAATAATTATTTAATTTTGAATCAGAATTTACTGGGACTGAGATTGTATTCAATCTTATGTTTATCTAGACTTATACTGTATGTGGTCATTTAGTTGTATATAAATACTATACCATATATCATCCGTTTAACAAATGGAACAATTACCACTTTATACTTAAAAAATACGAGGTTATACCTGGCAAGAAGCAGAGGAACGGCAGAAGGAGACATGCTACGCCGACTCCAAATAACTTCTGATAATTAGGTGGGAATATGAACAAGATATGTATATATAAAAATATACATGAAATAAAAAGCAGCCAAGTTGATTATTATCTTCAATGAAGTCTACTAAAGTATGTAACAAGTAATACTAACAGTTGAAGTGCACGGTCGCGGCGACGAAGGCCGGCACGTTGTGCTTGTTGTAGAGCGGGAGCGATAGAGGCGCGCGCGTGGCGGCGCGCAACAGTGCAGTGTCGCCGTACGTCACCAGCCCGCTCCAGCGAACGCACTCGTCGTTGCTGCACCCAAACAGTTTCACCTGAAACCGAGGACGCCACCCAAACTGAGTTACCACGCACGCACGATCACAAGAGGACAATATGATTTTACATGATAGAGCCACGCTGCAGCTATACAGGGTTATTTTCAAATCAAGAATATTAAAATTTTATATTATGTTCAAATATATAAATAACGATATACCGTTATTTGAGGTTATAAAAATACGAGTCAATATAGCTTCTAGTTATATTTGAATTTGTCCCAAACTGAATAAGATTTATGTGCAGCAAGTAAGTGTACGCGCGCTTTTCTGTGTGCGATTCAATTAACAACGTTTTTGCCGAACGAGCGACACTTACGAATGTATGCGTGTGTAGTAAAATAGTAGGCGTTAGATATTTATGAATGACAATAAGTTAAAATAATGTATTACCACGCATTCTAAATTTAAAAGATAAAAGGGATATAATGTTTAGAGATGTTTTTAATAAATTTTTCTTCACCATTCGCCTATATTACTTTTCTGAACCTTATCTGCAAATTTGGGCGTATAAATAATACAACCCTGTATACGGCTGTGGCACGAATATACACACCAAAAAAAGTTTGCGATCAGTTTGAAAATCGAAATCTTTTTTGTTACACAACAATTACAATTTACAATTTTGACGGATTTAAAATATTTTTTCATGGAAAGTTAAGTTGAAAAAATGCCAAGAGTATTGTCAGAAATTTTACGAGTAAGAATTGCAGCTTTGAGGGAAGAAGGATATTCCAGGAGACAAACAGCACACAGAGTTGCTGTATCCCAAATCCTGTGTCGTGGCCACATTGCAAAAGTTCCACGGTCGGTTTAGAGGTCGCCTAACTGTTCTAACTGCTGCTCAGAAGCACTATATCAGATGCTATATCAGATATATGGTGGCAGCTCGTGAACCAACAATCAACGCCACTACGATAAAAGCACTTGATGTTAGCACTCAGATCATTCGGAATTGCTTACACCAGGCTGGATTACGACCACGGAGGTCTTAGCAAGCAGCTCTTTGTTGACGAATCGCGAATCAGTACTCATTAAGATAACCGACGTATCCGTGTCTGGAGAAGACCTGAGACAGAAAATGAAAGTACTGGAACTACGACTGGAACTGCCGCTGAAACGGTTCAGTAAGGCGGGAAATCGGTGTCCTTTTGGAACGGAATTATAACTGAAGCTAGAAAGCCTTTAATCCCGTATCGAGGGCTCCATAACGGCAGATAGACAAAACAGTCGCTATTGATGGAATTGTCAGACCATTCTGAGTAAATCATGGGCATCAATTCGTTCCGGTCGATGATAATGCGCCCGCACATCTCGCTCAACGAGTCAATGCTACTCTCCGAGACTATGACATTACAATGTTAGACTGGTCTGCCGGCTCACCTTACTTAAACCAATAAAGCACACTTGGCATACTTTTAAGCGAGCTGTTTGGACTCGTCAGCCACCTCCCCAGACAGTGCCTGAGATCAGAGAAGCCGCTATTCAAGAATGGGACAGGTTACCGCAAGAAATGCTGGATAATTTAATCCTCAGCATGCCCTGGATGATTTCTGAATGTGTTGGAGCCAGGGGATAAGTTATGTTGTATTAAATAAAAACTTTCTATTAATAAATGGTTGTATAAGTTTGGTTAAACAATCTTTCTTTCCATCAAATTTCTGTTATAATTACATTAGGATTGAAATACTCAATTTTTGTTATTAAAATATAAGAAAGATTTTTTTTTAATTTCAAACAGTTTATTTCCATTTAAAAAAAGATATAACGTAAACACACGTTATATCTTTTTTTAAATAGAAATAAACTGTTTGAAATGAAATAATTTTCCTTGATAAAGTTATTTAAAAATATGTCAGCTTTTGGTAGTGACCAAAAACTGAACTTTTTTTGATGAGTAAAGGTTCTTTGACCGGAGTATATATGGCTGCGGCACGAATGGGTTGTTTGACCGGCGTATGACCACGCTTTCACAAAATACCAGCGTGAAACAGCAGTATAATGCTGTTGTGTGTCGTAAAGTGAGTGTAAGGAATCGGAGATATGTTATATTATGTGCCAAGGTATCCACTTACCATGTTGCTCGGTTGTCACCCTTATACTACAAAAAAGAATATTCTACAAAAAACCCACACGCGACAGAACACGCGACAGAAGAAAGAAGTGAAAACCTTTAAATGAAATGTAATGTTTAAATGAAATATAAAATATATCATTTCAAATTAGTGCCTTTTTTATTTAAATTAGTATTATTTGGACTCATTTATTTTATTACTTATTTTATTTAAACAACGATGTTTATTAAAACATTGTCAGTCACAGTCTTCGACATTGTTATTGTTCTTTGAAAAGTACGGGACAGCCACTAATTTTTACGATGACCAGATTAATTTACCTCCGAATATTTATACTCTCTTCGACCTTATATAGTACTCATTAATTACACAAAAATTTATATAAATTTTACCTATAACGAAGTTGAGGTTTCCATTCTTCACTGCTTGTTTATTTCATAGGCACACGACACTTTCGTACCTTGTTGAACAAAACATTAAGCTCACGAGCATTAGCTATAATGCTTCCGATCTCATTTTCTCCAACGTTAAATCTTATGAATCTATTTGTCTGTCTTTTTTACTGCCGATTTTCCATTTCATATACTTTCAAATCACGATGCTAAAGAAGTTTTCACTTCAAATATTACATACCTTTCTAGAGAAGTCACTGTTTTTGTCGAACACCAAATGTAAAGCAGCAACATGCGGAGCAGTGGAGTTGGGTGCAAAGACTATTGGCAGCGTTCGGCAGTCATGAGGTCCAAAGGCAACACAGTAAATTCCTCTGGACTCAACCCCAGGTAGGTCTATGGAAAACCCTTCGCCGATTATCTGACATCGTATCTGAATCTTCTTGTTTGTTGAATTTCTCAAGCTGAGCTCCTTTCTACCGGTCCGTACCCAAGACATAGTGATATAGTTAGTTTTTATTGGGAAAGTTCTAGGCTTTTCCATTCCACCGCTAATGTCTATGGTGTTCTTTTTACCGGTAACATCATCTTCCAGTATTAATACGCTGAAAATAAAAATTATGTATTGTATTGTTGTTAATATTTATTTTAAGAGGGTGCACGCGATTAGCGTCGAAATCTTTATATTTTAGGGTTTTTTCAAAGGCAATATAGTAACGACGTGAGCAAATTAAGGCGTAAGAAATATAATGTCTTTATTTAGTGTACTACAGAGCAAAATAACATTTTTAATAACAGTTTTTTAGAATAAAGACAATCGCTCTATATTGTGTTACGAAAATATGCGTCAGAGTTATCTTTTAGATCGGATATAACCATTATAATGATCTAAAATACCTTTACTACGTTTACTTTATATTTTAAGCGTTATTATAACGATTTCGGTTGTAGTTCGACACTATATACTCATATAGTCTCCAAGTGCAAAACAGACCCACAATAACGAAAATATTGCGATTTAATATTAAATTAAAAATATTATAAAATAAATAAAAACTGTCTACTTAAATGAAATTTTTAAACATAACTATGTTCATTTGGAACAGTGAACTAGTTTATTATATTAGTTCTATTAGCTCTATTTAATCATCAATACCACTAAGCAGTTTGAACTGTATCTATCTGTATACAATAGTTATCTCTGTTAGTCAGTTTCAGTCGTTGATATCTGCTCGAGCCGTAATGTGGTTTAATTACTCGTACACACACACACACACACACACACTCCCACACGCGCGCGCACGCACGCACGCACGCACGCACGCACGCACGCGCGCCGCTCACACACACGCACGCACGAAAGCACGCACACGCACGCATGCACGCACGCACGCACGCACGCACGCACGCACGCACTCACGCACGCACGCACGCACGCACGCACGCACGCACGCACGCACGCACGCACGCACGCACGCACGCACACACACACACACACACACACACACACACACACACACACACACACACACACACACACACACACACACACACACACACACACACACACTTGATAAAAGTCTAAAGCAAATTAAGTGATGAATTATTTATTTTAGCGTTAATGAAATTAAATCCTTTTTTTATATCGAATAAAGGTAACAAACGAGCACACAGTGCACCTGATGGTAGCTGGATGCTGTGGCTCATAGACTTCTACATTTATCCTCGATTAAGAATCAAAACGCAGATGCGTTGTCACCCCTGAGGACTAAGATGGAATGCTTCGTTTTTTCGAAAAAAAAAAGGTATCCAGATCTCTACACTCACCATACGAAACACATACGTATTAGGTGCTATTTTACGCTGGTATTTTGTGAAAGCGTGGTTCTACCCCGGTCGAGCCGACCCATTCGTACTACAACCATAATATAGCTGCAGCGTGGCTCTACCACGTATATTTAATATTTGGCGTTCGTTAAAAGAAAACGTATAAAGGAAACCATTGATTTATATAACACTAGATCCGCACCAAAGCGTTGCCACTGCACATATGGCCACAGCCATATGCCTAGCTAACGTGAGTTCATTGTTCAATGTGACGCCGACACACTTGAGCCGCGACAAAAATGGGTAAATGCGTAGTGAAAGAATGCTATTAAAGGTCACAAAAACGTAATAAAAAATAAAATTATCGAATATTGCCATTTAGGTTCAATGCTGCCACTTTTCCACATTTGTGATCATCCTACATTAATGGAAGACCATATAATTAATGGAGTAAGTTAATTTGATACCTCTGATTTTGAATATTTTGGAAATTATAATAAAAACTGCGTTTTAACTTTCATACAAAATAATTAATTATTCTTATTTTAGTTTATTCATGAATTATCTATTAAATATATTTTATTACCTATTTTATATTAATAATTTTATATTATTTATAATATCATATAAATTTTATATTAATTATATTTTATTACCTATTTTATATTGTTTGATTTATTAGTACCATAAAAATACGTTTTATTTCATCATTATGTTTACTTCTATTCATCTGATAAGCTTTGTATCTTTTTTTTCTAAGGTGACGTAATAAAGATTTTAAAATAAAATATACCTTTTTAATATAAAAACAATTAACTGCAGCTTAAAAAAACTCATTTTTATTGCGTAATTTAGGTAAAATTTCATATAGTAAGCCACACCAACCCGCCATTGCATGTTTGTGTGTCTATCTTTATCTAACCTTAGCGACGATATTGTTTTCGCAACTTGTGTAAGTGAGATAGATATACGTTTACTTAAAATTGTTATTACTTTCAAAGCTACGTCGTCGCGTTTGGATAGTGGTTACACTTTTTTCGACGCGCGGTAATGTGGTTTGCTCCTCTAGTGTTGTATAACTCAATAGAGGAAACCCACTAATGTGGTGGAACTATTTTACTCCACTCCATTCCCCTTTTAAAAATGTGATAAAACTTAAGATGTAACTTAGTCTGTGATTTTCTTAAATATTTTAAACGAAAATTTCAAATTGCTTTCAGAAAAAATATCCGGATTCTCGTTTTTTTTGTTTTAAATAACTAAGTTTTTGAAATCATTATCAAAATGACAATAATATAAAATAATAAAAGCTATCAACACTAAAACAGTTTTTTCATTGAAAAGAATGTATTTATTTGAGATTGCTTCAATTTTTCCAACTTTAAATAAGTTGCTTTCATCGTTTAACATTACATTGCTTGTAATATCCGGAAGGAGACACCGCAAGCAAAAGTGGCAATTAGGATCCCACGGTACTTAGTAGAAGTGTAATACAAAGCATAGAAACAAAAAAAGCAAAAAATAATAAAATGTACATAAAACTTACGCTTCGTTCACCTCATCTGGGGGCCCTGTATATAAAATGTTTAATTCCTTTTCACCTCCAGGACATATTTCTAATTTTTGTGATGATATTTGAAATGGCACTACGTTCTCATTCGAAATTGCTTTTAATTTAACTAACCAACTTCCTGGTATGGAACCAGAGTTTCTTAAAATTATGGTTGTGGGTTCTAGAAAGTAATATAAAAAGGTTAAGTACTTGAAAAGATTCCTCAGAATATTTTATAAAAATTCATTATTCTGTATTTTTTAAAAATTAAATATAATTTTTTAAAAATACAGAATAATGTACATTTTTAATATTCACCATTAGTAATATAAAGCTTGTGCGTAGATATTTCAACTACCAGATTGGCTGAACCAACAACACCTAACAAATCTACTTTCTTCAATACAGATTTAACACCCATTAGGTTTACATTTAGTGCAGCCCTATAAGATGTTGTAGTTTCTGCTGTAAAATAATATTTGATTAATTGATAAATAAACTACGCTTCGTTAACATTATTATTTACAGACTACATTATTATTTATTATTTAAGACTCACTTAGATCCAATTCAGATAGTTTAGGAGCTGTAAACATGATGGAGACTTTAATTGCATTACCACTAGTAAGTCTACATAACTGTTTGTTCAAAACCTTTCCCTTTGGCTTTCCAATCTTATGATGATCTTCGTCAGTAAAGTTCTGACGGTCCATCAAAGCCTTGCTGACATCATGCTTGCGAATTTCTTGAACATTCTTTATTGTGAACATACTGTCGCTTTCGATGATCGATAAATCTAATTGCAAATCGACAGGACAGTCACTTATGATAATTAAGGACTTTGTGTAGGTGGACTTTTCTTGTATAGGAGGAAATAATATTTTATTCATGCCATCACAGGAAAGGGCCTGTATTGTGGGCATTTTAAAGTTTATCTCCAATTCGCCATTTTGTTGAATGTCACCGTCGATAGACGCATCCTTCAAGAACAAAGTAAATAATAGAGTTGTATTAATTTCAACATTCGATGTAATGTACAGTGTGAATTGTTCTGTTTTTCCTGGTGAGAGTAGCAGTGGTTGCCGTGGTAGTTCGATGGTTAGATCTCTACCTTCATTGGGTAAACTACTGAACTGAAATTTAGCTGTTAGCCAACTGTCGGCAAGCGTCGTGATTGCTATTGTAACAGCAGTGCTAACCCCTGAAATGAAAAAAAAATGTGGATAGTAACCAACTCACACTTTTGCTAGCAATTAATGCACCTCCATTTGTGAGTCATGAGACGCTTAGACGCTATAACATAACGCCAAAATTAATAAAAGTTAAAATTACCTTATATAAATTTATAAAAAACATAAAATCATGAAAATGCTTACCAACAAATCCATTAACATTTGCTGATCTGATCTCCACCCATTGTTCTGAAATTTTTTTAATATGTAACTATAAATAAATAAATTTTGTATTAATATTGCTAAAACCTCTACCATGTTAGTGGATAAAATATCAAAATAAAACTGATGTATGAAAGTCATTCAAGTTCATGAAGTACATTTCACTTCAAAAAAGTTGTGAATTTTCTACATTAGTATGTATTGTAAATAAATATTGTATCAGTTTTCCATTACTTCCTAATACCTATAACTTAAAATAAATGGAACTAATTACCCAATTATGTTTAAAATATATCACTACAACAAATACAAAAGATTTATTTAAAACCATCTGTGGCAGCGATTTTTATTTTTTTATTTTGGTGCCAATCACAATATTACGTCACTGTTTTAAACCAAACAAATAGTTATGCATCTAAGGTGATATTTCATCATAAAAAATATAGTCCAACCAAAGTGTGCTTCAAACCAAAAGTTCTTTATGATAATATAAAATAAATATTTTAAAAATCGTATCTTATAATGAATATGCACCAAGAAAATACGAAAAAGTAATTTATAAAGGAATGAACAATTAGTGTTATTTATTAATATGTACATAGCTTCCCAGCTCCAAAAATAGACAATGTGATGATATATATTTATTTATTTAACTTCAACCTCCTTCTGCTGTTTTTGCATTATGTAATGTGAATTTAGGCAGAAATACAGAGGAAACTCTTCTAAAAAGTGTTGTTTTTTGCATTTCTTGTCTCATCATATTCCAGTTAAAATTTCCTAAAATATTCAATGTACAGAAAAAGTAAGTTATATATTGTTGTATATAGTATATACTGAACTTACAGTACAAACGAATCGAATTTGCATTTTTTAAGATATTGCCTAAATATTATATGTAGAATTGTCTCATAATACTTGGATGACCCTTTTACAATGTGTTTCATCATAATAAAGTAATGTAAAATTAAGTTAATTGTAATTGTATTAGTAACATTAAAACTATATTCCTATGATTGTAGCAATTTGAAGCGAGGCCCACAAACCTTTAGCCAAGCTCTCCTGTTTCTGTTGTAATAATTCTTGCCAATCTACTGATTTATCTAACTCTTTATACTCAACATTTGGGGAAGGAATGTGTGTCAAGTTAACCTCGCCTGAAAAATTTACTACATATTACATAAATATAAATAAAAACATGAATAAGTGTCATATGAAATCTATAGACACGCGTTTTGAAATAGTGCAATAAAAATGTATGTTAAGAAAGTGCTTTCTTCATGTACCTATGTTTTGAACCACACTGTAAATACGTGTCATCTGCCATGCAATTTGTTGGTGTATTTAAGTGCTAAGGTGCTCTCCTTATACTCAGCTTTTATGGTTTTGAAATTTCACAAAATCTACTACTGTTAGAAACACGACAGTTTTTAACAGTCGTAGAGCCACGCAGGCAGCCTTTGCTGCTGCACGTATGGGACGGCTCGAACCGGGGTGGTATCACGACTTGACAGAAGATTAGCGTGAAGTAGAAGCTCCACTTCTGCATTTCATCTGTTGAATGCAGGTGGCCGGAGGCACAATTCCTCCGCCCCCTTAACATGGTAACGGAGTTAAATATAACACTGCCCCAGGATCCCCGGTGACGGAGAATCCCTCGCTGAGCATCCACGCTCAAGCTACCCTACTCTTCCTGAGTGTGGGTGCTCAGGCTGCCCCACGTATTGGGGGGGGGGGGGATTCCGCAGCGACGACCATCCCCGCGTCTACGGGTGCCTCTATAGGTCCCATAGTAGTAATGCCGACACGAACGACTCGTCGACCACATCCAGATGGCTGCAGACTCAGTGCTACAACAAGTCCCATCCGCAGAGATCGTGATGCTTGGTGATTTTAACGTCCACCTGTTGAATGGCTTGATTCTCGTTTAACCGATCATGCGGGTAGATCTGTTTATGACTTTGCTTTGGCATATGGTCTAACACAACTGGTTACTTCGCCTACGCGGATCCCAGATGTGGAAGATCATGTACTTTCCATGTTGGGCCTTCTGCTGACCTCTCATCCAGACGGATATCAGGTCTCTGTTGATGCCCCTCTTGGCACCCCGGACCATTGTCTGATTCGGAGTACGGTGCCACCCACGCTCCCATCGCGGTTGCTTTCTGCAGATTGCCGCCGTGTTTGGCATTATAGGTCAGCCGATTGGGATGAAATGCGATCTTTTTTGTGTCTTACTCTTAGTCAGGTTTGCTTTTCGCCGGATGATCCCAGCGTTGTTGCGGATTCTGTCGCTGATGTGGTGCTACAGGGAATGAAACTTTTTATTCCATCAGTATAAAAAGTTATATATAGTATCCAGTACCATGTGGTACCTATCGGAGGTAGAATCCAGCCATGGTATGGTAACTCCTGCAAAATTGCATTACGTCATAAACAAGAGTGCTACCAGGCCTGGGCTCGCGCATCGACGTCTCGAGATGCAAATACCAGCGCTCTTATAAAGAAGTACAATTTTGCCTCCAGGTCCTCCAAAGAAGTCATTGTCAAGGCAAAGTCAGAGCACATCGGCAGAATGGGCGAGCAACTAGTTCGTCCTCCTTCGGGAACTTCTGTCAGCCATCTCTCTCATCTCTGCACAGGGAGGACTCACTGGCCCATGCCGCAAAGAATAAAGCCGATCTGCTGGGCTCTCTCTTTGAGCTCCAACTCGACTCTTGATGATGGGGGGGAGCCACACAGCCGACCATCCCGCGATGTAAGTGCTCCATGCCGGATATGCGGTTCACACAGCGCTCGGGTCGCAAAACTATCCTTTCCCCGGACGTAAACAAGTCGAGTGGGCCTGATGGTGTCCCGCCTATTGTGCTGAAGATATGTGCTCCGGAGTTGGCACTGGTTTTAACGCGCCTTTTCCGGTACTCCTACTCCCTAGGCGTAGTCCCGAAATCATTGAAGACAGCCTTCGTGCACCCGATCCCTTAAAAAAGATAACCGCAGTGATCCGACCAACTATAGGCCTATCGCTATCACTTTGTTCTCTATTATAATGGAATCTCTATTATAAACTGCCAGCTCATACGGTACTTTGAGGATCACCAGCTGACTAGCCACCGCCAGTACAGTTTCCGTCGCGATTTCTCGGTTGGTGATCTTCTGGGTTACCTAACTTATGTTATAAATGGGCGGAGGCAGTAGAGTCCAAGAGGGATACGTTGGCCGTTAGTTTGGACATAGCGAAGGCCTTCTTCGATCGGGTTTGGCACTTCTTACGAAGCTTCCTTCCTGTGGGCTTCCTGAGAAATTGTGCAATTGGATCACCAGTTTTATTGAAGATCGGAACATCAAGGTCGTAATAGACGGTGCACACTCCAATTACAAGCCCATCAACGCCGGTGTTCCACAAGGCTACGTGCTATCACCAACGCTGTTTCTTCTACATATGAATGACATGTTGCAAACCGGTAATTCATTGCTATGCAGACGACAGCACTGTTGATGCTTTATACACCGGCCGTGCCAATATTTCTCGGGAAAACGTCGCCGAGTACCGGGATAAACTTATGTCTAAAGTCGAGACTTTTTTGAACAAAGTTTCGGACTGGGGGTGACTAAATCTAGACCAATTCAATCCCAAGAAGTTTGCGCGTTTACCGCTAAAAAGAAACACTTCGTCGTATCTCCTCAGTTTCAAGGCACTCCCCTTGTGGCCTCAGCCACTATAGTAATCCTCGGCGTCGACATATCGAGTGATGTGCAGTTTCGTGGTCACTTGGAAGAGAAGGCCAAATTGGCTTCCAAAAAGCTCAACAATGCGGGACAGTGTTTCATGGTGGCTCACCGACTGCAAGGTGCAGGTTAGGCCGCACATGGAATACTGTTCCCATCTCTGGGTTGGGGCTCCCCAGTGCCGGCTCCTTCCATTTGATTGCATCCAGTGAAGAGCCGTTCAAATCATCGGCAACCGAACTTTTTCCGATCGGCTTGATTCACTGGCACTGCGAAGAAATGTTTCATCTCTTTGCGTATTTTGTCGCATCTACCACGGGGAGTGCTCAGGAATTGTTCGGACTAATTCCAGTGACACAATTTCAGCATTGCACATTGCGACAAAACTCGCGATACCATTCACATCATCTGGATGACTGGATGTCCCCCCTCAGTGCGATTTACAAGAAGTTTTCTTCCTCACACAACTTCCTTGTGGAATCGACTACCACCAGATTTTTCCGGACGGATACGACTTAGAGACCTTAAAGAATAGAGCTTGTTCCTTTTTAAAAGGCCGGCAACGCATCTGCAATTTTCCTGGTATTGCAGTTGTTCATGGGCGGCAGTAATCACTTACCATCAGGTGAGCCGTATGCTCGTTTGCCCCCTCTACTATAAATAAAAACACCACAAGATAAGTAGTTCAAAATGAACAACAGGGAGAGCTTATTTATGTTTTTTTATAGAAGAGGGGGCAAATAAGCATATACAGCTTTGATGGTATGTGATGATGGTAAGAGATCACCACCACCCATGAACATCTGCAACACTAGACGAATTGCAAATGCATTGCCGGCCTTTTAGAAAGGAGTAGGCTCTTTGTTGTAAGTCTTCTAAGTCATCTTGGTCCGGTAAAACCGCTAGCGACAATAAATTCCACAACGTGGCCTTTGAAAGAGTATAGCTGTTAAAAAAGTTATAACCATTAGCCTTAGTTAATATTACATATTATGAAACAATGCTAGTTAGATGAAGAGCTACAAGCTACATACAATGTTCTAATATAACTAAAGATAGGCAAAGAAGGATTAAGTGGCGCTTTTTAAAATTATTACAGGCCTAAGCTGATGGTGGGATAAGTAAACCTCTAACTGATATTCATTCCTATAAATATCACGTGTTTATTGATTTCATACCTCTTATTTATAATAAATGCATATAATTGACATCTACTGAAAGTTACACATTTAGATTATTAATACCTTTGCTGTTTTGTAGTGGACTATCATTGGATTTAAAACTAGTAAAATTTTCTTTTACGGTGCTAAAAGTAGATTGACTTTTACTTGATGGAGATTTGGATCTGCCAGCACTGCTTTTATTTTCTATATTGTCACACTCATTATTGCTTAATGAATTCCGAGTGACGATGACGGTCGGGATGTCTCTTTTCTCCTGACTTATTTTCAACTTATCAAGGTTTCTTTCGATCACAGTGCTGATAGTACCAGCGGAGCCAGCCGATTCCATTTGTTTGGTATCTCTTAAATTGGTAACTGCAAATTCGTCGTTATTTTCCCAATTGTTTTGAACATTCATTTGTAATTCTTTGAGAGGCTGTTTCTTGTTTGTCTGTTTTTTCTGATTATTAAACTGAAGCATTCCAGATATGCTTACATTTGATTGTTTTCCTGAAATTTAAAGGATTTATTTAAACTAATAGTGGAATATTAAATTTTTAAATTAACTTAACATTTTTAGAAGGAAGCAAATTAGACTAAATATCATTTAACTATTCCCATGTTATATATATTATATTGAGCCGTGGAGCTCTGATGGTTAACGCTCGCTATAAATAGAACAGAATGCGAGTAACCCGGGTTTGATCCCCGCCAGCACCAATGAAATTGTTAATTGCAATTTTAAGTGCTCATTTACCACGTGCTCGGCGGTGAAGGAAAACATCGTGAGGAAACTTGCATGTCTGAGGAATACGAGAAAAAATATTTCGAAGACATGTGAAGTTCACCAACACGCATTGGGGCAGCGCTGCAGACACTTCCATGCCCTCAAACCCTCTCAGAAATGAGGGGAAGCCTGTGCCCAGCAGTGGGACGTATATAGGCTGTAACTTTTATTCCCATGTTAACTAAAAAAAAAATCGCAAAATCAAGAAGAATATGTCAGGTATACCAGGTTACTATGATCTGAAAACATGCAACAGCCTTTAGCCCTTAATAAAATCAATGTAATTTTAAGCTATTTCAAAGTAATACCTAGGTAATCTGCAATTTTAGAAATACTGAGAGAGTTTTCAGTTTCATTGTCAACAGAAGCACCAGATTCTTCCATTGGTATCTGAAAAGGCGACGAGTGAGCTCTCTTTAAAAATTGTTCGGTGTTAAGGGATTGTAAAAATCTTTGCTGCAACAACTTCTGGTCAATTCTGTGCATGTCTTTTTTGAACTTCATGTACCTTGCTTGCTTGATTTTTGTGTGTATCAGTTTTGTTAAAATTTTGTGCATTGTCACCATTATTACAGTTTGCAGATATTTCTGGAATGGTGTAATTGTAATGCATATTTGTTTGATTAGTATGGTGCATGATAAATGCAGGGTCCTTCGTTGGTATCGCCTTGTCAAGGTTGGCGCCTCGTGATTGCCTAACTGGAATGCAATCTAAAGACTGGTCCATTTTGTATGTGTTATTAACTTCATTTCCTACTTTTATTTCTTTTGATGAGGCTGATAAAGGAACTGAAAATATGATAAATAAACATAGTCACTTTTAAGATTTATATTAAATTTATGTCTAAAAAGATGACCAGCGCCAGTAAATTCAGTATAAAATTAAGAAGTATCATAGAATCATAAATTTAAATAGTTTCATAACTGAGGACTTCATAACAGACTGACTAAATGTTACCTCTGTAACATTTAGGTTAGGAGTTGGTGCAGTAATAATCAAAATAGAATAGAAGATATATATATATATATATATATATATATATATATATATATATATACTTAAATACATACAATATATACACATATATAAATACATATATATATATATATATATATATATATATATATATATATATATATATAATAAGTACACATAAACATTATCTATGTCAGAACAAATACGAAATATATACGGAAATAAGAGCTGTGTTAGTTTAAACTTGCAACGATTTATGCCATATACATATGCCATACACAGTGGACCGTTCTGAGATATATTTCAAATCATCATTTAAGAATGAGATAGCATTAAAGATATTGAAAGTTCCACTTGCACATATAACTGCAGATCATCGGCACACTTATGGTAAGAGCACTTGAGATTTAGTGTAATGAGATTTATAAAAATTGAAAACAGAAGAGGATAGATAATACCGCCTTGAGGGCCGCCAATCGACACATCACACCAGTCACATAGTACATGGCCAGTACGCACGGGCTATTGGCGCCCTCGAAGATATGATGAAAACCATTACTGAGCTGACAACTAGATATTCATATGAGAAAGAAGAGCTAACAAGATACTATTATCAACAGAAATAAATGCGCTAGAAAAATCAATTAAGATGAGAGCGGTCAGTTTTGAGAAGAGCAGTAGTTGTAGAATGACCAGGGCGGAAACCAGACTGATAAGGGGAACACGGAATATAAAAAACAAGAGGAAGTAGCAAAATGCATAATTTATCCCAGAACCCCTGTCACCAAAGTCACACATGCGCAAGAAAGAAATGTGTACCGACAATTGTACATTATTTAAATCATTTTCGCGTGATTGGCTATTAATAAATAAAAGACAAAGGCGTTATGTTACTCACCATTCGCTTGAGTACGAACCGTAAGATCTTAAAAATATAGATCATATTTCATTTTCATCAAGGAATTTTCTAGAAATAATGAGCAAATTTAGCTCCTTAACGTTAGATGTAGTAATACCGCGATTATTTGAAAACGCAACATAAATTCTTACTAATAGATACTTATGATAAGATGTCTTAATCAAAAAAGCTGTGTGTGTGAACGTAAGCTATGTGACGCTAGATGTCGCACTAATAAATTCACACTATTATAGGCAAAATGTAAAATAGACGCAACGTTGACTTTGCCCTACCTAACCTATAGCGCTACGTAAATGATGTCAGTGATAAAGTTACTTTGCTCGAAAGTGATCTGACTTTTCGATATTCACTATTCAGTTAATATATAAAGTTTAGGAAAATATATGAAAATGCCTTTGAAATAGCCTTGATGTAATACGTATATTCCCGTCATTCATACAGCCGGCATATAATTCATCACTGACGCCACAAAGGGGGGGCGAACCTTAATTTTTCTTTAATTACAAAAGAGCAAGACGATATTTAGACAAGAAAATATTTTAAGACGAGGTTAAAATGCTTTCAGAATAATGAGCAGCAAATCAAAATGGATATTATTGCAAAAATCATGCTGAAAAAAGATTTCAACAAATTTTGGAAGAATACGAGTAACTTGAATTCCAGGCCCATATATAACCCTGTACACATTGCTAAAGCTTTTCAAAAGCATTTCAAAGTGCAGCCCCCTCCGACACAAACAGAACAGGTGTTCGAAGCCGGGCAGCTTCACGGAGATATCAAAGTAAGATTTATGGTAAAAGTTGCTTCCATTATTAGAAAAATGGCAAGAGGGAAGTCTCCTGGAAATGATAGCCAAAGCATCGAACACCTGAAACATGCTGGGGTTCACTTACCTAGGGTACTCTCCTTTTTATTTAACCCGTGTTAGTCATTCATACTTGCCTTGTAACCTTATTCATACAATTGTGCCAATAATAAAGAATAAAACTGGTGATGCCTCTGATATATCTAACTACAGGCCTATTTCTCTGGCTACTGTTATTGAGAAAGTGTTGGACGGTTTGCTTGAACAAGTATTTAAGTAAACATCTCTATTTACATGATGCTCAGTTTGGATTAAGGTCGCACTTATCAACAGAAACAGAACAGCTGGACGTTGTTAGTGTAAACAACATCAGATACGCTGACAATATGGTGCTGTTGAGTCCATCGAACAGAGCCTTACAAAGATTGTTACATACATGTGAGTTGTACGCTGTGGCTCATGAACTTAAATATAACGCATCTAAGAGTGAGCTAATAGTTTTTAAAGCAGGTAAAAAATGTAATAAGAATGTGCCTCCGTTAACATTATGCGGAACTCCGTTAAAGCTCGTTAATGCGTTCAAATATTTGGGTCATTGCGTGGGTCACAGATAGGGGTCGCAATACCGGACCCCTTTTCAAAAACCGGTGTTTTCGGTATTAGTGTTTAATGAATACCGAAATTTCGGTTGTTTCGGTATTTTTGTTTTTTTTTAACATAGTGAGCCAAATATTTAAAAATATGTAATGTAACCGTAATTTTCATAAGGGAATTGTCACCAGTCAATCAATAAAAGTGTGTTAAGATAAGAAAATCACATTTATTTTAAAAAAATCAATCATTTATTTAAAGTTTAATAAATAACTCACTGCTGCTAAGTTATTTTAAACTATTTAAACATAAAAAACCTCGAGTAATCAGCCTTAACAATAATATTAAATACTGCTGCTAAGTATCTTCTTCATAGGCTTACTTCTTCATGTTCTTATAAACTTCTTCATTATCCTCAGCTTTAATAAAACATAAAATGCTCTTGGGCGATTTATCTTTTTTTTCTTCACTTTTCTTCATGGAAATCGAGTAAGAGCTTTCTTTGCTCCATGGTGTAGTTAGAAAAAATCATATATAGGTATACTCTTCAGTTTACGATCATCTAAAACTTCTATGGATGCAGGTGGCTCAGGACGTTGCTTTGTGGCATTACTTGGGGGAGGCCTATGTTCAGCAGTGGACTTGTGAAGATCTGTAATGATGATGATGATGAAAACTTCTTTGAACGTTAAAATCTACCACCGGTTCCAAAAGCGATATCTCTAGAGAAGAAGAAAATCTGGTTCATAGGTTAAATTCGATAGCAAAGAATGTTATAAATTTACTTTTAAATGAATTGAAGAAGTTTAAATGAAACCAAATTTTACGAATTTTATTGCGTATTTTAATTTATTTTATATTCCCGTCCCAGTGTCATAGTTAAACACGGCTACCTTCAGTTAACAATTATTAGTTTTTGGTCCGATGTACGCAGAATGGGCGTATCTTGAAGTCTTGCAATTGTATGCTTGTTTTGGGATTTAATTTTATAATTTATAGGATCCCAAGCAGATGGTAACACCCAGCCATTCCCTCGTCATAGTAATCTTCTACATAACATTCCAAAGCAAAGTCATAACAATCGTGATCTTCCAGTTGTCTTAGTTGAGTTTGGGAACTGTTTTCGTTTTTATATAGCACGTCTAATATCGCTAACTATATTCCATGAGCAAGGCATCGCTGGTGGAAAAGTGCTGCTTCTCTTCCAAATGCGAACATTACACTAGCACCGTCATTAGTTGTATAGGCGAGCGGGCGGATTCGTCGTCGGCTCAGGACTCGGGAGTAGGTACTCTTTCTCTCTCCCTCACTCCAGAGTGTAGTCGCGTGACTTGCATTGCATAGTCGAGCCGCGTTGCCATAGCATCTACCACGTGAAAAGCGTGGGCTATTTAAATTTTTTTGACATAATATTATTTATAATGAAATAGGTACCGAAAAGTCAAATATCGGTTTCCGTTCACTCAATTCCGGTATTTTAAAGCTTTTGTTTCCAGTCCGGTATCCCGGTATTTTCGAGATTCGGGATCCCGGTTTGCGACCTCTAGTCATAGATACGTTAAATGATGACATTGATATAGAAAAGGAATGAAGGGCACTGTGTGTACGCGGAAATATGTTGGCTCGTAGATTTGCACGCCGTGGTAAGCAAGTTAAACGGGCGCTTTTTAAAGCATATTGTCAGTCATTCACGTGAGGTCTACGGGTTAACTACACGCAGCGAGCGTATAGTTAGTTCTCTGCGTGTTCAATATAACAATGCGTTTAGGGTGTTGTTTGGGTTGCCGCGTTTTTGCATAGCATCGGCTATGTTTGTCGAGGCACAAACTGATTGCTTTTATACCAACTTCCGCAAGAAAAGCGCCTCGCTTTTAGGACGTGTGCGCAAAACTTCTGTGGGATTCTCCACAGCTACGACACTGGATTTGTCTGCATGCGTCAGGCTCTCAGCCAGGCGCAAGAATAAATAAAATAAATTAAATTAATAGTATTAATAATGTTACTAATAATAGGATAAGTTTAAATTGTTTACATCTGACCAGTAGTTTTTGAGTAATACTTAATAATGCGTCTGAGGGTGACACTGAAATTTCTTAGAAAAACAAAAACAGAACAAACTAGCAAGTTATTAGCTGTATTATCTTTTCAAAATAGTGTCCATTTACATCAATACATCGCTGCATACCGTGGAACCACTGTCTGTATCTCATTTCTATTATAAAACGCAGCCACTGTTTCCTCGGCATCCATAAAATTCATCGTCACCAAGTAGTCGATTGTTTGCTTGGCGGTGTTGCGACGAGGCGTTGTCGAGGTGAAAGAGGATCCTACTGCGAGGTCGTTTCTCCCGAACTTTTTCCAAGACAAGTGGCAAACAATTGTTAGTGTACCACCACTCTGCATTAACTGTTTTTCGATCCTCTAAAACAATTGTTGCGTAATGACCTGTCCTTCCGAAGAAAGTTGGCAACTCCTCGGAAGGAAACATCCAGACAGAA